CCTCCGCTGCGTAGCCATATCTAGAACCTCAGCAGTTCTACAATCTCTTTCTCGCTGAAATGCTTGACGTGAAGAAGACTCTTACCTTTTAGTGCCCCAGCTTAATTTTATCCACTCAAATCACGTGTTCGATAAACTCAGCTGCATAGACCAGTGATATCCCACGAACCGCACCTGGATTGTAAAGGGATGTTCTTTTCAGTCTAGATCTTGCCGTCTCCTGTAGATATGGCAGATTGTCCAGTATGTTGCTCGAATTTGTTTTTTTTAAATGCTCTTGCAACTGACTGTGTATGATGTACTCAAATAGCTACCAACCCCAGAGGAGACTCTGGGCTGGAATGGAGGTTGTGGCGTGGATATCAACATGGTGCGTGAGCTGTAAGCTCGTTATGTGAAGCTCTTAGTAATTGATGTATGTTCAACCCAGGCTCTGGAGTACTTCGCTGCCGGCACCCATCAGCCTATCGAATTCGACAACCTATACCCTGTCTCCTATTCGCTTGACCCCCAAGTACGCTATGTGGCTTTGTTATCCAATGATAAAATCTCCGCTGACGAAAGCGGTTTTGCTCTTAGGAACGCGAGCGCAGTTTTGGCTCATACGCCGGAATTGATGATTTCATTGGGGCCCTCCCTGTGAAACAGATGTACAAAGTTTATGCAGAGCTTTGTGCAGGCAAGCAAGATCACCTTCACGAGTACATTATGATGCTGCGATGGCTGAGATCCTCCATGGAAATTTCGGAGGTATGAATCTGCTTATGCGTGTTTTTGTTAGCTGCTATCAGCGCCTTACTTGTTATCTACACTAGATCACAGTCAAACACCTTCATGATCGTCTAAGTTTCTTGAAGGTCTACCTTGAGTATACCCGGACGAAGCTCGAAGAACACTACAAGTGCTACAAGAAAATGAAAGCGGACGAAGCTGTTGATGACGAGGTAATTTACCTCCACAAGAAGGACGGGTTCCACAAGAAACGTGGCTACAGTATTTTTGTATATCTAAGTATGGCCATGACCGTCGTCAACGTATTGGCGAAGCAAATTGACAAGTATGAATGGCAGCAGTGCCAATGCACCAAGTGCGCGTACTATCGGTCGCCCGAGTGGCGCCAAACGAGACCTGATGACATTACGCCTGCCATGTTACCTCCAATGAGATTTTATCGCCGCGGAAGCAAAGGAGTGAGCCCCTCTGAAAAGATTTACCGCAAACAGCGTGGACAGAAGTTATAAGAATACTTCCGTTTCCAAACGAAAACGAAGCTCTCAAGTTTCAAGTGAAAACATTTTGTTGTGTGAGGATGCTATCAGTTATGTTATTGTAGCACCATGCGTATCCGCGGGACTGTTAACGGAATGGACTTGTACAAAAAGCAAGGGGCTATCTTCGAGTGACTCCGGTGTAACAAATTCGCGACAAGCCTTTCGTAGGTACGAGGGTAGTCGAGGGGAGGTAATTCAATAGCTCGTCAGCTGTATCCGAATACGAAATTGACGCACTTCAGAGCCTTCAACCGTGGTTTTGGGGACAGCGGTGGCAGCACGTGCTCAGAACCTTCAAGACTTCTTACGAGTTGCGGATGTGATCAAGGCGTTCGAGCTCGTTGTGTAGCTAAGCTTTAAACATCCTTTCGGTGGAATTGGGTATTCAATGATCTGCTCTTTTGCGTCGATGGCGGTGTACGTGCGTCCATTAGCAGCTGTCTAGTTGTGTGTGTGCGTGTGAATGCAAATTCTGACGGTCTTTTATCGCTCGAAAGTGGACACATTTACGTGTACTAAGCGTCTAGCCCATAAGTAGCTTCTCAGTGGCTTACCCTTGCGGGCGTACCACAGTCCCCTCGTTCAGCAGCTCCGCGATGGCCAGATAACGTACGACGTACGTTTGGGCTTTCTAAGGATCGGTATTGAGCGAGCGTATTAATAGTATGGACCTTCTTCCACAGCCAGAATGGCAGATATAATGAGGAGAGCACCACCTCAGCGTGCGACAGAAACCCAGTATCTTGGTTTTGTACGCGATAGACGTGTGGAAGATCTCCGCTTGCTTGGATCACGAACGACGCGGGATAGTATACACGTTCAGCAGGATCTTCAGTAGCTCGATCCGGTCAAGCCTACTGTCCGTCAATACCATCTGGATCTTCTTCATGGTAGCGCCAGACGAAAATACTCTCGAACGATTTCTTCAGTGCGTCCCAGTGGTGCAGATGTGCTCGATGTAGCAGCGCCTTCATTGATGGTGAATACTACACCACACGATCCCCGTTAATCAGTGTCTAGGCGAGAATTGGGTCGAGTTGGGCTGTGTCGATAACGGGGGGGGGGGTGCAGGTTTGCTTACGGGCAGAGTCGATGGATAGAAGCGCCGGTCGGCAAATTTTAAAATGACCGTTTGATAACCACGCTGGCCGGAAAATTGCCGCCACACGCCAGCAAACACTTCACATGTTGAAGCAACAGCTCAACCAATCATAGCTCGTTTGAACACGGCTCCACCAATCGCAAAACAACATTTTAAATACCAATCTCTTATTAGTGGAATGGTCACCCCGAGGAAAAACGCAACCCCAAACCCTGAACGATTTGGCAACTTCAACGTCGCGCCAAATTTGAATTCATCTTGGTAATTTCTACGTTAAATTTTTAATTTTTACTGATATATTGTTTTCTCGTATACATTATAATTCCTTTCCTTAAAAAGTGCAAATTTTAATTCACGTAGACCTTCGCCGACAGCAAGCAGCAGTTCTTAAAAGTTGAGTTGAATATGTAGAACTCTCCTGAAATGGATTTCACACGAAGACCTCTCTGCATGCAAGTACGTGAAATTTTCAATGCTTCAATATACTCTACCACTGAGTATGAATCCAGTCGTCCAAATCGTTTAAGTACGTACAGATTGATAGACAAGTGATCTCCACAATCCCACAACCATCGAATCCTGTCAATGAGAACGTGCAACGGGAAGTACTAAAACCTGAAATATTGCCATTTTATAAAGTTATGACCTACATTTAATCTTATAATGTTATTATATTTTCACTGGTACTAAGAATATTTACTACTATTATTACTCATAGTATTCAGTGTTTCTTTTTAGTTTCACTTGATACTCAGAGTATCAAGTGAAACTATAATAACAGTTTAAAAGTATACATATAGGTAGACCTGGAGATCAAGTTGAGCTCCGGCTGGGTGGAGTGCGCCGGCCACGCCGACCGCTCGTGCTACGACCTGTCGTCAAACGCCAAGAAGAGTAAGGTCAAGATGGTGGTCACGCATAAGTTCGACAATCCCGAGAAGCGCCTGATCGTGGAGATTAAGCCGAACAATGGCAAGATTGGCCGAACGTTCAAGGCCGATGTGGCCACGATCCTCGAGGCGCTAAAGGCTTTGAAGGATGATGTGCCACGCGCCCAGGCTTTCGAGGACGAGCTGACCTCTAAGAGCGAGGCCACGCTGGGCTTGCTGTGCGACGGCAAGCAGTTCACGCTGCAGCGCGACATGGTGGCCACTAAGTTGGTGGAGAAGATGGTGAGCGAGGAAGAGTTCGTTCCCTCGGTGATCGAGCCCTCGTTCGGCATTCCTT